CCTTATAAGATTTTGTTTCCTAATAAATCTGTGTTTCCTGTTGAACCTCGTATCTTTGGATGTTCTTGTTTTGTTCGTGATGTTCGTCCGCAGGTTTCCAAATTGGACCCCAAGTCATTAAAATGTGTTTTCCTAGGATACTCTCATCTCCAAAAAGGGTATAAGTGTTTTTCTCCTCTCTTGAACAGGTATCTTGTGTCAGCTGATGTTACATTCCATGAACATCTTCCTTTCTTTACTGCTCCATCTACACCTGTGTGTCCACAAGAGGATGATGATCTACTAGTGTATCATGTCACTGGTGCAGACACTAGTGTTGTTCCAATACCCCCACCACCACCTTCTCAACCAAAACCACCTATCACTCAAGTCTATTCTCGATGACCTAATCCTCCTGTGAAAAGTCCGGCATCGGTCTCTTCTTCGTCATCGGATCCAATGCCTAGTGATATTGATCTAYCTATTGCTCTTCGGAAAGGTAAACGCCAGTGTACTTATCCAATTTCCTCTTATGTTACCTATGATCGTTTGTCCTCGACTTCTTGTTCGTTTGTTGCCTCTCTTGATTCTATAGGGATTCCCAAATCTGTTCACCAGGCCTTATCCCATCCTGGGTGGCGTGATGCCATGCTTGAGGAAATGAATGCCTTGACTGAGAGGATCTGGTCGATTTACCTGCTGGTAAGAAAGCGGTTGGATGCAAGTGGGTCTTTGCAGTCAAATTTAATTTTGATGGATCAGTGGCTCGCCTAAAGGCTCGCCTGGTGGCCAAAGGCTATGCACAGACATATGGAGTGGACTATTCTGATACTTTCTCCCCTGTGGCAAAGTTGACTTCAGTTCGATTATTTATTTCTCTGGCAGCTACATATGATTGGTCACTTTACCAGCTTGATATTAAAAATGCTTTCCTGCATGGAGTTCTGTAGGAGGAAGTTTATATGGAGCAACCACCTGGGTTTGTTGCTCAGGGGGAGTCTGGGAAAGTTTGTCATCTTTGAAAATCGCTGTATGGACTAAAACAGAGTCCTCGAGCTTGGTTTGGAAAATTCAGTCAGGCAGTAGAGAGGTTTGGGATGAGGAAGAGCAAATCTGACCATACTGCTTTCTATAAGCAGTCCACATTTGGCATCATTCTACTTGTTGTATATGTAGATGATATTGTTATCACTGGGAGTGACACGAAGGGAATCTTATCCTTGAAATCCTTCTTGTGGAGCCATTTCAATACTAAAGATTTGGGGCACCTWAAATACTTCTTGGGGATTGAGGTGGCAAGGAGTAAAAGAGGCATTTTCCTGTCTCAGAGGAAGTATGTTTTGGACCTGTTAATAGAAACTGAGAAACTGAGAGTCAAACCATGCAGTACTCCAATGCTTCCTAGCAATTCACAAAGGATGGAGATGCTTTTGATGATCCTGAACGATATAGAAGATTAGTTGGAAAGTTGAACTATCTCAYAGTGACTCGTCCTGACATTGCTTACTCAGTTAGTATTGTAAGTCAATTTATGTCCTCTCCTACAGTGCATCATTGGGAAACCTTAGAACAAATCTCGTGTTACTTGAAAGGAGCTCCTGGATGAGGGATATTGTATCCGAATCATGGTCATAGTAATATTGAGTGTTTTTTTGTTAGTGGTAATCTGGTTTCGTGGAAGAGTAAGAAGCAAAATGTGGTGTCGCGATCTAGTGCAGAATCTGAGTATAGAGCAATGGCACAAGCTTCGTGTGAGGTTATGTGGGTTTCTCAACTCTTAATTGAGATCGGTCTTAAAGTCTCAGTTCCAGCGAAGCTATGGTGCGATAATCAAGCTGCGATTCATATTGCTACGAATCCAGTTTTTCATGAACGAACTAAACATATTGAGATAGACTCTTATTTCGTTCGTGAGAAAATTCAACAAAACTTGATCTCTACAGCATATGTGAAGACTGGAGAGCRGTTAGGAGATATCTTTACAAAAKCTCTTAATGGAGCTCGGRTTTCTTATATTTGTAACAAGCTGGGCATGATTGACATCTATGCTCCATCTTGAGGGGGAGTGTTACGAGATTATAGGTTGTAATTATAGGCTGTAAATATGTAGTATTAGCCCAATTAGGAATAGCTTGATTATAGGAATTATTCTYTCTTTGATTTTCTTCCTATTTTAGTATCTACAAGGCTGTATGGTTTTCTTCCTTTTTAGTATCTGCAAGGCTGTATGATTTTCTTCCTTTTTTAGTATCTACAAGGCTGTATATATATGTACTATTCTCTCAATTGAAAGATATCAATTTCTTCCAATTCTTGTTCTATCACAAGGTGGATCCCTCCCCAAGAGGTTGTGGACATTTTCAGGCCTAGCTTCCCTGAGGCAATCAAAGAAAAGAGGAAGGTTGATGTCTCTCTACTAAGGTTGCAACTATTTGGGTAGTTTGGGAGGAAAGGAATGACAGAATTTTTAATGGCAATAGTAGAACTGTGAAGGAAGTTATTGAGACAATAAAAGTGAAAGTAGCATTTTGGATTAAAAACATGGAGTGTTTTCGAAGTTTCAGTGACTGATATTCTAAGGGCTTGGAAGGAGATAGCACAATCATCTAGAGACAAAGATAGGATAAAAATGGAATGGAAACCCCCACAAGGTAGTTAAGTTAAGCTGAATTTTGATGGAAGCTCTCTGGGTAATCCAGGTATGGCAGGTATTGGTGGGGCAATTAGAAATTCGGAGGGTAAATTGTGCCCTTTACACCAGGCCAATCGGTGTGTGATGACTCAATAAAAGCTGATTTATTGGATTTAGTACAAGGTATTAGCTAAGCAATTGGGCCTCGGACAAGTGGAGGTGGAAGGGGATTCAAAAGTAATCATCTCTTGGGCAAGAAGTAACAGACATATTCCATGGACTCTCAAGAATGCTTTCAGGTAGAAAGGACTGCAAGAGAGCTGGATGCTGAATTCAAATGGATTAAAAGGAATGCAAATGGGCTAGCTGACCTCCTTGCTAAACAAGGGGTAGAAAGGCAGCAATTGTTTTGAGCATCTTTGTAACATAGGGTTGGTTTTAGGGCCGATGTTATGGTCATTAAATCAAACTTCTAATGCTTTTCACATATTTTTAATATAATCAAAGTTTCATTGATAAAAAAGATTCACCCTTCTGTTAATACTCTTTAATCACTCCTAATGTTCTGTTGCTTATTCCCATCTGGAGTCTCTCTGACAGAACTCTGAAAATCATCAACAATTACCTTACAGACACCCTGCTGGTAGTTTTGGTTTGCTTCTGATTTTTCTCTGTATAGGCTTCGGATTTCATTCCCATCAACCTTCTTGCACAAAACAATGTTATTACCTTCCACCTCTTTCGTTGGAACCAAAGTAAAAGTTGCAATATCGTTATTTCCTTCCTCGCTGAAGAGCAATGCTGTACTAAACACCTCCTCCCTGTCACCTTTCTCCTTGCCATTTTCCCCCACGCTGCCAACAAGTGACTCAGTATCTGAAGCAGAATCTCCGTCATCAGAAATAGTGCAATCTACCCAAGCTCTACCGACCTCATCATTGTCCTCCACTCAAGCCCTAGAATACTTGGGGTTAGGTTAACCTGTTACTGACTGACTGGAGTGGTAATCTTGAGAATCCGCCCTTAGATGCCACTGTAGAAGGACTTCAAACCTTTTGTTTTATCTTTCAAGTTATCATTTCTTTGTAATGACTTGCTATGCATGCAGGTTAAGGCAGCCAATAAGCTCCTTAAAACAATTCCACAGAGCAATGGAAGGAGGAAAGTACATGGTGTTCCTGTTTTCACTGCTCAAAACTTAGACATTGCAATAGCCACAAATGATGGAATTAAGTGGTATGCCATCTGCAGTCTATGTATTTGTTTCTCAATTTTCATACTTGTAAGTTTTAGAGATCTACTATTTAGAATCTTCGTAGTTTATTTGTCATTTCTTTATTATTGTTCTGCTTCTATGCTTTCTGTACATAACCTATTTATGAAATATTACTGACTTGCAGTTTTGTTATGTAAATGAATTAAAGATAAAGCTGTGTTGTGTCATGAAGTAATGCAGTCCCTAGTTTCACACTCAGTTGTTCAAAAGTCCATTTTCTGCCATGTTTTGATTGATGATTTTCGATAATCTTCCGACTAGAACCCATCCTCTTGGTGGAATGTTGATTTTTCAAGTCTGTGTATTATCTACCAAAACTCAGAAAAATGGTGGCCTGTGTTTATATGCTTTTTGATATCTTGCCCCTAATTTTTCTATCTTTAATTTTTTGCTTCTTCTCTCTTTCATTCATACATTCGTATAATTTATTCGAGTTAAGTGCTTAGTCAAAAGGTGTCCACTTTAAATTGGGCAAATGATTTGAGAACATTTAATCTTAGTGTCTTAACTGTTTCTTCTGTAGGTATACACCATATTTCTTTGATAAAAACATCCTAGACAACATTCTTCAAGAATCTGTTGACCAGCATTTCCATACATTGATTCAGAATCGGCATGTTCAGCGACGACAGGATGTGATTGATGACAATCTGGCTTCAGAAATAGCTGAAGAGAATGCCGAGAGCCCATGGGAGCCTCCAGAGGTACAGATACACATAGCTGAATTTTCAAACTTCATCCATTGGAAAATATTGAATATGAGTGCTTTACCATGCTATGGCTTCATTTGACCTCCATGTCATGGGATGTGGAAACCTAGGTTGATATGTTGGTCACAGGTGCATAATCATTTTCTGATAGGTTCAAGAAGTACTGGATGAGATGGGCCATCCTGGAATTCCTCTGAATGTTATATCAAAAGCTGCTGAAATGCAGCTCCTTCATACCGTTGACAAGGTACTCCTGGGGAATAGATGGTTACGGAAAGCTACTGGGATTCAGCCACAGTTTCCTTATATGGTTGATTCTTTTGAGGAAAGGTATTGTCAGTGCTTGTTTCAGCTTTATAATAATTGGGGTTTTACATATTATTTGCAGAACTGGCTAGGGGGTTACCCATAGATTCATTTATCTATGGCCCCATTTCCAGAGGAAGATTTCCTTCTAAGGCCCTTTTCATTTACCTGTAAATTAGGAGGGGGGGGGGAAGTTGGTCAATGGGTAGCTTTTTCCCATTGACCAACTTTACAATGTTCTTTTTGCATTTAGTAAATGGGCCCCATGGTAAAATCAGCTCTACTTCCCTGGATAAAACTTACCCATCTCCCAGGTGGGTAAGTAACTTTCCCACCTGTTTGGGTGGGGGGGATTTTACAAAACATAATGGGACAACTTTACCCATTTTAATATTAGCTTTTTATGGGTAAAAATGTCATTCTGTTACTTATCTGGGAATCCTGCGAATCAAAAGAATATGGGTAAGTGAATTTACCCAGTAAACATTTACCTGGCTAAGTACACTTACCTAGGTAAGTCACAAAGTTGTAAACGAGCGAGGCCTAAAGAGGAAATTCAAGAACTCACGTGGCAAAATCTTGCTGGTACACATGTTGAGGGTATGGGACCCCCATTCAGTCCCTGCCTGATAGATCAGGTGATCCTGATCATACATGGCTTCTCGCAATTTTGTGATGGTTGGAAATACTGTAAAATTGCCTCCAGCATTGTTGTATGTTAATTATTCCCTCTGTTCCAAAGATAGTGGATCCCACCCGTTTGCACATGTAAATATTTTAGCACAGGCAGACAGATGAAACTTGTGCATCCAATGACATAAGCCAGGTAGCCTGTAGCCATGGTAAATTCTTAGAGATCTGATGGTGCAAGTTATGCAAAAGAAAAAATGAAAAATATGTTTCTGCATGGTGCTGATAATTAGATTTCTTTTGGATGTGTTTGAACAGGCAGTTGTAAAATGTCAAGGTCATCTGGTTGACAAGATCAATTTTTATTAGAGAGTTCAAATTAGTTAATGAGTTTTAGCAGGAAGTGATTATGAAAACTTTAGTTTATCCACCACATATTTGCATCACTAGCAGAATCACCTTAAGTCTTCAAATTCTCTTTTGGTGTATGGTGTCATAACAACTGTACTTCCTTTTCCATGCCATCCACTTTATCTCCCGTTTTCTCAGTTGTAACTTCTATAGCAATGATTTGGTCTCTTAGAATAATCTTTAAGTGGATAGCAGTGGTTATTAGTTATTATATCTTTTACCTTTGTCTCCACTCTTTATAGCATGCATTGTTAATGGACCATGAACTATACTTTTGACATTGGAGATCTACTCGACTAAATCACAACAATTTTGTTGCTAGAAAAGAACCCATTTGGTCATGGTTTTCGAACTGCCGTTGACCCGTTGGCCCCAAACCCGGTCCTTGGCCAAAAACCGTTGAATCGGTCAACGACCTGTTGACCCAGGTGGTCGAACCGTCAACCCATCAACCCGTTCAACAATTTTGGCCGTTTTTTTATTTTTAATATTTTTATATATTTTTAATTTTTGTTGTCAGAATGGGCCGTCTATTCGAACTGGACGGTCGAACCGTCGACCCGGAAACCGGTGGCCAGAACGGTTCTGTTTCCAGGTCGTTTTTTAAAACCATGCATTTGGTGCTTTGTATTATAGGATATTCTGGAAATTTGTCTTTTAGGAACTACTTACCAGTATTGAACCATGGTAACTGATACAGCAAGGACACAGCTGGATGAGGTGTTGGATACAGAATTTACACTAAAAGTGGGAATGTCTAGCACGACTGGGCACCATTGTATTGGTATCTGGGTATCATAGGTACTGAAGAGATGTTTCCTGTAACACATTTCTTTTTTTCTTGAATAGATATGCTCAGTAAATACTACAGAAATGAGGTGAAGGCCATTATTGCATTGAAAGCTTACTTCTTTAGCACTGGAAATAACATCTATTTACAAAACACTAGGATTTATATCAGAGCCATGGGCTGGTGTGGTGGATCATGGATGAATGCCTACTGAAGGAATTCTCTTCATTTCTATTCCTTAATCCCCTTCCTGTGTTTATTCTTTTCACTGCATGATAGTTATTATTATTTTTAATTGTGGATTGTATCTGTTTCATTTTTTATTCTTGCTATGTGATGTTCATCTGGAAGAGGGATGGTTGCAGGAGTGCAGCTTCTGTTCAGAGGGCTGCAGAGTCTGCTTGCTCTATTTCCAATTCAAAAGGAGAATGTGTTAATGATAGACATGAATGGCAACCTAGGAATGGCCTCGAATTGAAGGAGAGAGACCAAGCGGTTCAAGGACAGAGAACACACACAGATTTTTGGTTTCCATTTAGTGATTGGTTTGCAAATCCATGGTCAAAAAATGAGCAAAACCCAAATAAGGAAAACAAGCCCAAGACGAGGTACCATCTAATCATTGGTCTCCCTCAGTTTTGTGAAAGGATAATTTTGTTTCCAATCAAATTGTTTTTCTTTCATCACAGAAAGGAGGGCTCAAGTAAAGGATGCATGAAGCAAGAGCCAAAGCCTCTGAATCCACTTCTTCCAAAGATTACAATGGTTGGAATCTCAACTGGAGAGGGAGGGCAGATGAACAGAGCCAGTTTAAAGAAGATGATGGAAGATCTGACACGGGAGTTGGAACAGACAGGTCAGAGAAGTGGTAGCACCGAACCTTGTAATGAAGATAGGGATCCCCTTTTCGTAGCAAATGTTGGTGATTACTACTCCAGCATGGCTAAAACAGGCTCTGCCAGATGGGTTCGCTCTGGGAATAGTTGATGTGCTATTCATTCATGCTAGCTTGAATTGAAGTGTCTATAGTCTATACCTTCAATGAGGGGCGGAAGAAGTCTTCGCTGGATTCAACTCTCCCAAGTCTCTCTCAGAAGAGCAGCAAAGAGGTGTGGATATCGATCTGTTATGTGACTTTACGAGTTAGGCCACCCAATCAATGTCAGAAGAAGAAAAGTATGTCTCTCTCTAGCTCTGTGTTTCATTATAATAATAATATTATTATTATCATTATCTTAGAATAAATAAATACAAGGAAGCTGTAGTAATAGATTAGACACGCCTTGTGGCTCTGCTGTGGGCACGTCGGCGGAGCACTTCCCCAGTTGTTGTAAAGCCAAAGTCAGAACATCATGGAGGAGAATGATTGCCGATAAAAGCAAGAAAGAGGGAGAGTTATGGGCCAACCACTAAGCAAAACCAGAATGTAGGATTTCAGAGTTATGGGTCAAGGTTTCCTGTTTCCTAACCATCTCATCTATTGCTTTGTCATTTGACGGTTGATAAAAAGTAAAAACTGTTGAGCGCTCAATAGTCTGCCGTCTGATCAGGTCGATATTTCTCCCTTCTGTAGATCCGTAGCCATGATTGGTTCATTAAAATGGTGGGGTATCTTATCCCTTCATTTATTGCTTTGCCACGTGGAAAGTTTTATGTAACAACGTTGTCAACTTACTATAGATGGATGGATTATAGTTTTCTTTCCATTCTTCATTTTTTCTTATAAAAGCTTCGGGTAAGCACCGTAATGATGGAGGGCACAAATGAAGATAGAAATGTTAGATGGGTTGGGTTCCTGAATCGTAAACCATAAATGACTAAGCAAAAAGGTAGCAAGTGATTGAGACACCTGATTGTGGTAGTAGTGATGGACCTGATGGTGATAGTGCTTAGTGTGGCACTGGCACTGGCACCTCAGCCCCCACTTTGAAATGAAGTGGTGAACCAACTCTCTCTCTCTCTCTCTCTTTCTCTCAAATAAAGATATCTATACATTTTTCGGATAAAATGGGAGAGGGGGAAGTTGGGGTGGGGTAACGTTTCTTATAGATGGCAATGTTTTCTATGATAGCAACGGTATCATCTATCAAGTACAAGTCCTTCGGGACGAGACGAGCTCACAATCCTCTTAAGATGTTGCATACCATCACTTGTTTGTCATTTTGGAGGAAAAACCTTTCAGGCTTTACTCTTAAGAGATGCTGCCAAAACATATATATATCAGTGTGTGTGTGTGAATATGTGAAAAGAAAGAATTGAGAGAGAGAGAACAAACATTTGATTGATGAGGACTGCTATTACACATTATGCATATCTCTGCATCCTATCAACCTATAGGCTTATTTCTGAGCTTATCCATGTGTTGAAGAGTCTAAAAAGTAGGTTTCTTTATCTATATATCTGCTAATGGGCCCGTGCAATGCATGGAAAAAAAGATGTTGGGGCTTATTGGGCTTAAAATTTATTTCTCTATGGGGCTACACAACCCAGGGATAAGGATGGCAATTTCGCCCATCCTCACCGAGTACCTGGCCTCCTTGACCAAGCAAGGATGGAGAGTGAAGTCCACACCCTGCCCCAACCTTATTATATATATTAACCAAGGTTCAAAGTATCGTTACGTATTGGCCCATATCAGCCGATACGTATCGTTCTGGGACCCTTTCGATACGCCCCTATAGTGGGTGTATCGGGGGTCTGATCGGTTCAAGGGATGGAGGGGTCCTAGATCGGCTCCCCTAAACCAGTTTTGGAAAAAAAATAAAAAAAGTAAAAAAACAAGTATCAAAACGCCCGATACGCCCCTACTGGCGTATTGGGTGTATCGATATTTTGAACCTTAATATTAACTATATGTGTATATATATTATATTAAGTATATAATATTATTTATATTATATATATATATACATATCAAATTGTATTTAAAATATTATTTGCATTTTAGTTTTTCCTTTATTTTAAATAAATGCATTTTTGGAAACAAACTTTTAATTAAAAAAATTTAGGGACTTAGGTCCTCGATGTAAAACTTGTCTTCGTCGAGGACTGGAGATGCATGCTAATTTTTTCCCGATGGGAGTTAGGGTTAGAGACGGGGATTAATTTAAAACTTGGGGTCGGGACAGGGAGTATGATTCCTACCCCGAACCCGCCCATTGCCATTCCTACCTAGGGGATTATCTCCCAAACCTATAAATATAATCTCAATAATTATAGTAATTATAAATGTAGTATCCAATACTTATGAAAATTATTAAAATTTTTAAATTATATTGGAAGATTTATAATTTAATTTTCACTAAATTAAAATACTAAAATCAGTACTTTTTAGTAATTAAATTACCAAAATCACTAACTATTTCTTAAAAATTATAGTAAATATCAAAATTACTGAAAAATAAAAAATAAATTTATATTTTTTGAAATCAATTTTCCATTGAAAAGATTTAATTATTATATGAGAATATCAGTATATATTAATAATTGACCAGAATTATTGAAAATATTAATAACTACTTATTGCTAAAACATTACTGATAATATCAAAATTACCAAAAATATAAAGAAATAAATTTATATTTATTGAAATAATTTTTTCAATGAAAAGTTACTGAAAATTTTTAATTATTAAATTTGTATTTATTACATTTTAATTAATTTTAATTTTAAAAAAATCTGAAATTAAATTACCAAAATCAGTCATTTTTAGCAGAAAGTTTTATTAATTAAATTTTCCAATTTACCAAAGTTATGAAAAATTATAATAATTAAAATTTATCTATTTTTAGCTATATTTAATATTTTTTTATTTAAAATATTTAGTTATTGAGATATGAAATAGTTTTTTATTTGGATCTTTAAAACATTGTTTAGTTACTAAAATTATTAATCCATCAAATTATAATCTCTCTCTATTCTCAGAAAAAAATTAAATAAATTTTATTAAACCACAAACCATTGCCTGGGTCAAACAATTTAGTGGTTCGACTGTTTGGGTCAGCGGTTTTTCGACCAATTCAATGGTTTCTTTTCCAAACTGTGGTCTAATCTAGAAAAAGGGCTTGGATAAACAATTGGTTCTAGGTCAAATGGTTTGACCGTCTAGTCTGGTTTTTTAAAACAATGCTTCTAGGAGGAATTTTAGGTGGGAGAGATAGTTTAAGGGAAATATTAGGAGGGATTGGTTAAGATATTGGGAACTTGAGAGAGAGAGAGAGAGAGAGAGAGAGAGAGAGAGAGGAGTGGAACTCTAGTGAAGATGAGAGGGTTGTCACGTGGCTACATGGAAGGGCTGGGAAAGGGCAAGGGAGAAAGGAGAGAGCACTAAGGAGAGGGATGTCGAAGTGGCCTATGTCGCTATATAATATAGTATAGATATTAGCAACAACTTGTGTGATGCACGAATTTTGTTAAGTGAAAGCTAAATAATAGAAACATATAAGTGTAGATAATTGTTTTATATTTTTATGTTTTAAAATGCAACCAGGTTGGGTTAGTTTTGGTTTGGCCATTTGTAAACCAACCCGGTTTTACATACATAAATACATACATACATACAATTATTTTAATATGAGAAAGTTGAAAAGTTCCCATATTTCTTAATATAAAATATTTTATATTGTAAATTTAAATATTTAATTTATTTTTGAATAATATCATTGTAATTTTTTAATTTTAAATTTAGTTTTTAACACTTAAATCTTTTGAACCAACCGATCCAAACTAATACCAGTGTCTTTAACCCAACATTGACTCAACCAGTTGGACTGTTCGAACCATCATTAGCCTTGATTTTGGGTTTGGTTATGTTGAAACCTGCTCTTCGGTCAAAACCGTTGACTTTGAGGAAAACTAATTAACAAAGGAGAAAATAGGCTAGAAGTAATTCATAAGAGAAAAAGCATCCAGTGCAAAATTTTGGCTAACCAGTGACCAACTAGCTAATGAGAATATAAGTTATTACATCTCGGATTTCAGTCTGTCTAGCTATCAAGGAACGAATGATTTTTTTTTTTTCATGTTTGGTAATGTACCCCATGGTTTTTAAAACCAACCCCGAGACCAAATTGGTCGGGGGTCCGGTTACTAGGTTGAACGGGTCGAATGGTCGGCCCATTTCGAAATAAAAAACGGTCAAAACCGTTCGAACAGTTAACCGCCCTGGTCAGCGGTTTGCTGACCAAAATCAACGGTTTTTTTAAGAAAATCCAGTTTTGGGAAAAAAACGGAACCAATCACCTGATCAGTTCCCGGTTTTTTCCGGTCCAGTCCGGTTTTGAAAACCATGATGTACCCATATCCTCCCTAAGGATTGTTGAATAGCGCAGCAGCGCACCTGTAATCCCCCTCCAAAGTTGGTGGCAGTGGGATTCAAATACCTGTTTCTGTAGAACGAGACAGCAAACCAACTGAGCCACCACCCATTAGTTGGTGAAGGATGAATGATCAACCCAAGGATCTCCGACCGGAGCCTCCCACAGTATGTCAATGCCCACCCTTCAATAAAACTCTCGATTCAAGGATGGCTTCGTCCCTCAACATGTCTACAATGTGTATAGTCTCTAATACGAGTATCTGAAACCTTCCTTCATTTATACAATAAATACTAAGACCTCCCCTCTATTTTTAAAATGGATTAAGACCTCCCCTCTCGCCGTTATATTTAACGGATGAGTGAAAAAGACAATACTGTCCTATTAGACTAAATGTTGACTTGTTGGGTTTTTAATCGAATTATAAACAAAATAAATTCCTGCAATTACCTCTAAGCCATTAAAAGAAAACAAAGAAAAAAAATATCAGGTTTAATTTATAATTGATTTATAATTTCTTCCTTATTTTAAATATTTTCTTGGGTTTCAAATAAAAAAAAAAATCTGTTGTTTGAAATTTAAAGAGGGTGGAGAGAAAAAAGAGACCGATCAAAGCTTTTGCCAAATGGATTCCAAATTGCAAAACCCATATATTTGGTCGTGAACAACTTCATGTCGCCAAAGTTTCTCCAAAGATCCAGAAGCTTAAAAATACAAGCGAAAAGGGTGATTGCCTTCAGGTCGATCTCCAAGTATATAATTGTCCATGTTAGTGAAGAAGAAAAGAAGTTCCGAATATGGCTGTTCACAGGTCAGGTTGGGTCGGTTTATTGGGGTTTTCCCAATCGACCCGACCTAGTCGGGTTACCTGAGGTGGAAACCGAAACCGACCCATTGATAGACAAAACCGATCTGGTTGGTTTGAGTCGGGTTGAGTCGGTTTGGGTCGGTTTGGGTTTTGTTCTTGTACAAAAAGGACAGGAAGCCTACAAATAGAAGGAAATTTATTTGACCATCATTTCAGCCATCTGAATTCAATTCAGAGTCTAAGATAAATCTTCATGTAAATCTGAATTAGTTGCTGTTCAAGAGTCCAAGATAAATCTGAATTCAATTCAGATAAAGAATAAAATCAATAAATTCTTCATATAAAAACAAGTGTCAAGTAAGACAAAAGTTATCAATAAAATAGAAAGTCAAACTGTTTTATAGAAAGAAGGCTGAAATATTTATATTTCAAGAAACTTTCTAAATTCTAATCTAAGTAAAAAATGACACCTAATTCTAATTGTAATTGCCTAATTAGTTGTCTATTTGGTGTAAAAGACTATAGAAATTAGGATAGATACAATTTAGTTAAGTGGGAACTAGAACTCTAGAAGACTAGTTAAGTAGGAACTAGCTAGAAGACTAATTGGTTCGGTTCAATTCGGTGCTGATAAAACTGACTGGTGTTGATGAAAACCCGGCCGACTCAAGTTGGGTCGATCCGGGTTAGTCGGATTGATTGGATTGGGCCTTCTTATGAACAGCCCTAGTTCCGAAGAATTCCTTCACCACCGATGCTGCCACCCTTTGCCGCTAATGCTTGATCTACTACTACACATTAGTCTCGCCATTTTTATCTATTATAAATGATTCATTGCATTCTCTGTAACAGAGGATGTATTTGGGATGGAATTTCAATGGAGATCCCAAGTTTGTTTAATTATTTGGATGGAAACCCAAGAGTTGGTAGGAAACTCAAATATTGAGAATGCTTAGGGGGTAGTATCAGGACATAGGAGTCAAATTGTATTTTATATAATCTCTGTCAAAATGTTGGATGATCATTGATCAGCCCAAGCATTTATAATTATTCTAATCTATAGAAACTGCTATTGGATTGAAATGTGCGTGACACACGTTATCATGGCCTTTGATCTTGTTGATCTCTGGGGAAGTATTTGTTCGATGATATTACGATATAAGGGAGATCTTAGTCCAGTTTAAAAAGAGGGTGAAGTTTCAGTATTTATAAGAAAATTGAAGGGAGATTTAAGTTTTTCACCTTTGTTTTTTTTGTTACCTAACGGTCATGCTGGTGGATCCCATGGCCCATTGGCCTCCTTTCTCTTAGAACAACCAGAGATGAATGAATTGAACGCACAGTAGAAGCATTAAGAGTTTCTTGGCTTCATGGGTTTGAAGCTGAAGGAATAGGAAGTAACTAGGAAAGTGGTAACTGAAAGCTTGCGACATTGTGGCCCTCATAACCCATCATTGTTGCACTCAGCCTTACAGAGGATATGAATTCCCCCTTAGAAGGGTCTGCCTCTTCTCATAATCACTTATCTGAGCTTATATCAAAAGTCGTTAGATCAGATGACTTGGGCCACCACCCACCAGCCCAATACTAACACCTATGTGAGCTTATATCTTCAGTGTTTATATGTTACCATTCATGGTGAGATGTTAGTATCACGTGGGTAGGAGAACCGGTTTCGAATTAGAGATGTACTCTTATCAATAGTGTTGCTGTCTTTTCACATGGGGACATTTTAGTATTGGCAGTGGTGGGAGTAGATCTCTGCTTCTCTTTGCCAGCCCATACATCAATTTCAGGATTCCAGGCCAACACATTTTACTACATATTTATATTTAGGCAACATCTATGTTGTTTGAACTACACAATAAAGCAAACAATTTTTAACCAGTGATAAAGATGATACATCACACATCACAATTGAATCTTTAGCATTGTTAAAGTGTTGTGTTGTTAAAGATTTGGAACCAATGCCATTTGATGAGAGGTATTTTTGAAAAATATCCTTTTTTTTTTATTTGGTACCTTTGTTGTTGCTGCCACATAGGCTCGTCAAGGTAGTACAAGGCTCGAGCTCGAGCTCGATTTGAGAATTTTTTTCTATAAAAATAAAAATAAAAATTATATATAAAAATATTTTTTATTTGGCATTTAAAAAATTAAGAATTACAATAATTAGTTATTATTATATATAAAAATAAAAATATTATATATATAATATTTTTATTATTTTTATTATTTTCTATAATTTTATATTATTATTATTATTATTATTATTATTATTATTATTATTATTATTATTATTATTATTATTATTATTATATGTATGCATGTAGCTATTTGAATCGGCTTGTGAGCCTCACGAGTCAAGCTTTATTAGGCTCGAGCTCGGATCAAAGTTCGATTGAAACTGAGCCGAGCCGAGTTTGAGTACCTCGTGAAGAGCTTGGCTCGTAGCCACCCCTATCTTCATGGTAAGATCAACCAACCCAAAATCCTCTAAAATCAGATATACATCACAATTAGGAATGGCAATGGGGCGGGGCACCCCCTACCCATCCCTACCTCGAAGTCACGATACCTTGCCCCGTACCTACCCCATCCCCGGTGGCGGGGCAGGGCATCCATTCCCCATTGGGGATGGGGAATCCCCGAATTTTCCCCGTTTCAAGGCAGTTACTTAAAAATTATCTATTTTATGAACAATTTATACATAAGATATAGGAATTTGGGGGTATTTAAGAATTGAATTATAATACTTTAGGGATAATTTAAAAATAAAATTATGGTATGTTAGAATTTTAAAAATCAAAACTTAGAAATATTTTAAATATCAATATTAAACCTAGAGATATTTTACTAATTTACCTTTGGATTTGAGGCGGATTCAAGGAATTATATACAAAACCCGTCCCCGTCCCGTACCCGATTTAGGGAAAAATTATTTTTCCCATCCCCACCCATCCTTATTTAAAGTCGGGAAAAACCCACTCCGTTCGAGACAGAACGGGGCCCCGGTTTTATGAGGGAAATTACCATCCCTAATCACAATTGAGAGGGCCATAGGGTCAAAGATCGGATCTGCTACCCATGAACTGTTACTATATCTCTATCCACCATATATTACAACTATGCATCGGTAATATCTCCCTAATACACGATGATGGTAGTACTCGAGTAAGGATGTGGGAGATGTTTTCATCAAATACACGATCGATGATGGTAGTACTCGAGTAAGGATGTGGGAACAACTTGTGGGTAACACAACATATCGCGAGTGATAGGGTCCACCATTTGCGGACTCATTCCAAATACCAACTTTGAATAGTATCAGATGGGTGTGGTTGGTGATTAAACGTGCTTTGGAAATCGCTGCCTCGTTGGAGCGTAGAAGGGCAAAGCAAAAGCAAAACATTAACATTCTTTGCAATGCAAATACGCTGCGGTGGAATTTGCAGCAGGGATTCATCTGCATGCCGCAATTCACAAGATGATTCGGATCCAACGTTGTAAAGGGGCCCCATTAACACCATTATTATTTTTGCTAAAGAATCCGGGTTGGTTGGAACTTAGGGTTGGAAGGCAAAGGCACGAGACCCATCCCGACCCCACACGGTTGGGATTTAATGCCTCGTGCCATCCACGCCTGTAGCCCGCTGAAATTCAAAGAGCGGACCAACAGATGACAGATGCTTTGCCGTCAATAAATCAGGAGAACCGTCGATATCAGGTAAAAAATAAAAAAAATTTCCCGATAAGCCATAACGTTTGACCAGCTCTTTGTCTTCAACGGTTCAGGATCCTCCGACACCGTACCGGAGAATCACAGCGCCAAAAGCGTTGCTTGCATTAAATCGCGAATTCGCGATGCATGCAAAAAAGTAAGCCAGCCGGTCTAGAGTAGAGATACACAACCACCAACCAACCAGAGGAGGAAGTGTGGGCCCCCCCACGAACTTGCTCGCCTCGCAAGCTGTTTCTTTTTATTTTTCTTTCCCTCTTTTTGATCTGTTCTTAAAGTAATTTCATTTTACCTGTCCCGATTCCACCACCAGATTCAGGACACGTGTTGTGATTTCCCCTCGTCGACCGCACACGTGTCTCTACGCACCTTAAATCACACGCTTTAGCCGTAGGAAATATCCTATTTATCAACCGTCCATCTCTCGTCGTACCGTGAGCCCCAGAGAGCCTCCCACCACCAATAACTTGTCTTCTACTCCTTTTAAAATGAAGGGAGAAGGGCATCGTGCCTCGTCATGGTACGATGCCGATGGTCCCCATCCCCATTCCCCACCCTAGGCTAGGGCCTTTCACACGCGCACGTATTGTGATAACGACGCTCTTCACGTCTATGGAGACGAACCAAGCCTCTGGTTCCGGTGCATGTAAATATGCAACAGCTTTTAATTTTAAATTATTTTTTTATTCTCTCTTTCTTTTGGACTTTTTGCCCAATAATTCACGAGTTATCTTAACTCGACTCGGTTTGAGATCGGCTCGACCGACGAGGGCATCCGGTGGCGACGAAATTACAAATTAGAGCGTGTGGACTTTTTATCAAGGTCCTTTGAGAGTGATTGTCCTTTTGTTACAAATTCAGGCCCACCCCCCTTTGACATTTTTACAAGTCAATGAAAAAGCAACAGCGGTTTCAGCCTCTGAAAAACCGCTTTTTCTTCTCTCTCTTCTCTCCAGTCTCGAACTATTATCTTCTACTCTCTCTTTCTTTATATATATATAAATAATATCGAAGCTCCGACTCAGTTAACCTCTCAAGTCTCTCTCTCTCTTTCTTTATTTATATCCCACCCTCTTCCCTCTTACCTTGTAAAGTCAGCGCCGTCCTTTGTCCCTTTGCATCTTGTTATGCTTAAACGGGAGCAGCAGCAGGAACGACGGCAGAATCAGGGACAGAAACATAGCTACTAGTGGCGGAAATAATCAATCGCTTCTCGCTGGAATCGCGCAAGTTTCAAGGCTGACCGGCCCGGATATTTCGCAGGCATGGAAGTCGACTGGGATCTGCAAGCGGTGGTGAGAGGCTGCGCCATCGGCACCACTCCCACCACCACCGCTACCTTCATGGAGGATCCTCTCTTCTGCTTTTCTCCTTCTTCGGGTCTGCAGCAGGATGATCATCTCCACTATTTCTCTGACCCTTTTCAATCCCCAACTATGGCTTTTGAGGAACTAGAGGATTTGTATAAGCCCTTTTTCCCCAAGTTTGAACCCCTCTCCCCACAAACCATCTCCCACACTTCGTTTTCGGCTCCTCTTGGAGGATTGAAAGATCAACAACAGCAGCAGCAGATACAACCACAACTGCAGCAGCGGCAGCAACAACAACAAAAGCAGCCTCAGGTGTCTCTTGCTGGGCCTCCTACTGCTGCTGTTTCTAGTACTACCACTGCTCATTCCCAGACCCCTCGATCCAAGAGAAGGTTAGTCCATCTCTTTGCCAGATAGAATTGAAGATTTCGCAGATACTCATGTCTTAAGATGTACCAGTTGTCTAATGTCTTGCCTTTAATTTGTTTCCACTTTTTTTCTTTACACAGAAAGAACCAGCAGAAGAGGGTTGTTTGCCAGGTGCCCGCCGAGGGCCTATCTTCTGATATGTGGGCTTGGCGCAAGTACGGCCAGAAACCCATCAAGGGCTCGCCCTATCCCAGGTGGGTCTTTCTTTACTCTAGGGTTTTACGCATTTTTCTCCTTTCCTAAATTTTTTTGTCTGTGAATTCCCATTCTTATACTGAATCGTTAATTCTTTTGTATTTACTTGTTTGAACAACAGAGGATATTACAGATGCAGCAGCTCCAAAGGGTGTTTGGCTAGGAAACAAGTCGAACGCAGCCGTACCGACCCGGGGATGTTTATCATAACCTACACGGCGGAGCATAACCATCCCCTCCCAACTCATCGGAACTCCCTCGCCGGTAGCACTCGACAAAAGTTCCCTACATCTCAACGGCCGACCACCGGCGAACCCGACACATCCACCACTAAACCGTCTTGTGCTTCTTCTCCAACTTCAGGAAGTGGTCTCTCACCAACGACCCCGTTAACCACCTCCATGGAAGACGAGCTCCTACAACCGATTAAGCAGGAGAGCCAAGAAGACGACGGGGAGGAAATGGTGGAGGACGACGAAGACGACGAGTCCCTCATCCCAGATATGGTGATAAACGACGATTTCTTCATGGGCTTAGAAGAAATCGCGGGATCCGCCAATATCAGTTCCTCCTCCACCAGCGCGGCCTTCGAAGACTGCTTTTCCGATCATCTACCGGCGTCTTTCCCCCTTCCTTGGCACGCCCACAACGCCGCCACCACCGCCGGCGGCATCTGACATGCCGGAAAAGACGCGTACTCTGACATTGGATACCAAGATTTCTCCAACTTACCAATTTTTTTTCTCTTTTTATCCGCGACACAGAGAAGAGAGAGAAAGAGAGTTAGAAAATAGAGAGAGAATCTCTCTCTCTCTCTATCACCATCTCACCACACTTGTTTTATAAACATCACCGTTGCCAGGTCCTTTGAGAAGAAGAGTTATTCCATGTTTCCGGTTGCACACTAATCAGATGAATTAGTTGCACATCCATCTCCATTTGATTGTGTATCATGATCATCATGTGTCCATGTAGATCCAAAAGTCAACGCAGATGTGTCCATCCTCTTCGTTAATTTTTTAATTAATTCAGTATTTATTTATTTATTTATTTTTTGGAACTGTCAAATTGGTACGATGTATATATATGTGTGACAGTTGTCCGTTCCCGTCCCGGGAGCCGAAGAGCGCCACCGACTCCGGTTCAGTCGCTTTATCACGTTTTTTATTCTTAGCACAGAAGATCCCTGCTCGCTCTGCATTGTAGCTGTACTGTGGACGGATGAAATATTCAAACATTATTTAATTTTAATTCGATTTTTTAGTTGGTAAAATAGAATACGGAAACCCTAAAATATTGTTCAATGAACAGATGAATCACCATGACGTCACACAACAACACTCTTACATCACAAGAATAATCCAAAAAGCTTTCTCTTTGATTCCAAAGAAGTCATGTGCCCATTGCAAATTGTTGGCTTGTCTCACTAAATTCATCTAGAGTTTTCTCTTCAATATAACCAAGTTCAAAAAAGAAAAAGAAAATCATCCCTTCCGATATGTTCTTACAAATTTGTCTCTCACATATCATGTGTAGGATTCATTATAAGATTGGGATCCACTATACATGTACTGTGCCAACATAGATCATGTTGGAACTTGTCGGAAGAGATTTTTGTTGGAGGAGATTTTGAGTTATCTTTCCATAGTTGATGCATAAATAGAAGGCAATGTTTTTAAAACCAATATAAAATTGGGACCGCTTTGGTCACCAATTTTTTAGTTAGTAGTTCGATTGTCTGGTTTGAACGAATGATCCATTGCAATTTAAAAATAAATTAATTAAAACAAAATATAGCGAAAATTGTTGTCTTGATCGAATTAGTCGATAATTTGATTATTCGGATCAATAAATTATTGACCAAATGATTTTTAACAAAACTCCAATTCAAGGGTCATTAGCAAAGTCGGGAATTTTCTTTTGGGTGGGGGTGAGGAGTTAAACAAGAAAATGAAATAGGAAATATAAGAGATAGGGTTCCGAGAGAAATGAAGCGAGAAGGTTTGGGTCTATAAATATTTGTAAAGAATAAATAAACAAATTTTGTAAATTTTAAAAGTTAGAGGATCGTTAAAGAATAATCCTTAACATTTTAGTTCAAATTTTGAAAATTTAAATGGTTTTTGATGCCGAACGATATGACATTTTTTGTTTTCATAAGATAAGGGCTCGAGCCAAGATGAAGCCAATCAACTTTAAGAAGGGTGAGTTAAAAGTTGTAACCAACTTATTGCTACAGATCACTAGATATGTGTAATTGGTTGTATGGCTTGAGAATGCTCACTAATTCATGGTCCATATAAAGACAACTGTATGGCTAGATCAATGGTTGGAATTTAAATTACCACCTGGATGGAGAGCAGCTGATTGGAGCTTGATATGCTGAATGGACGGCCTTGACTTAGTGATTGCATGGTTTCAAGTTTCAACCTTCAACGTTCAACCCACTTCGACAGTATAGATCCCCTGGAATGTCAGCACTCAGCACCCAGACTTTGATAATTGATAATATCACTTGGATGGTGAAATTAATGCATTGACTTTGATACCATACGTAGGCTTCGTTTTGAGTTTTGACTCTAAATTCTTGATTTTTTTTTTTTTATTTTCGACGATCAACATCCACACTTTATCTTGCATCACCGTATGTCTGGGGGTACCATTTGAACGGTTCAGATCAATAGCAATAATTGGGGGTTACGTGGACAAACTAGATCTGGAGATAAATCGCCGTCTACCGGATCGGGTTCGTAACAAATGGATGTTCCGCGTGCAAATCACGTCAAGTCGTCGAGGACTTGGCGTGTTGTAACTTGTAACCTTAGACGTCATCTACGATTTGGATGTATAGAGACAAATGTGGTCCAGGAAATTGACGTTTAAATTCTGGACATCACGATTCACATGGACGGTCCAGATTGATGTTCAGATGTTTGATCAACGTTCGGATCCTGGCAGACACATCAACTGTTGATAGATAATTCCAGATGAACCCATGCCTGAAAACCATTGATTTGGCATAAGTCAAACTAAACTGCAGTTAACAATAATACCCAAATGGTCCAAATGTTGATCAGGATCAGGATTGCCCATTTGGGTTTGCCGAGAATCCAAATGTTACTTTGATTAGTTCACGTGGTGTGACGTATGCATGGATAAACTAAATAACACATCTGGAGGACAAATTGATCTTTTACTCAGCATGATACTAAGGGCATTTTGGACATTTCAATTCATAATTTGATTTTGGTTTTTGAACTGTGGAAGTAATAAATAATTGCACGCTTATCAAAAGAGGGAGTTCAACTGTACTTTTGCAAACTAGGGGGAGTTTTTGGGTAATTTAGTAAGAGCCTTCTCCTTAAAGTGAGTGGTAAATAAATAAAACTATGTGACATATTTAACATTAAGTAAAATATGTGAAATATGAAACAATAAAAAGGTAAATGAACTTGGTTGATATTGAGATTTGACATATTGATATTGCATATATTCATGTTTTGCACTATAATGGGCACTCTATCACTAATATTGCCTTTCAGGGCGTTCTTTTTTGAGATTTTGAGAGGGGGAAAATTCGTTAATGGGATTTTAGTTTTTTAATCAGTATTTTGTACTTTGGCTCGAGTGGTAATTTGGTTTCTGAATTTTAAAATGCAAAAATTTAAAATCCAAACTTTTAAAATGTGACAATTCAGTACTTGTCGTTAACCAGTCTGTTAACTAGTTGTTAAGTGACATTTGAAAAGTAAAAAAATGTTCCAAGAATGTCATCTAATTCTCTTTATCAACCATCCAAACATTGACAATAAAATGAACAGTCCCAAATTCTAGATTCTTCTAAACAATCTCCAACTTTTTTGAATAGAAGAGACTAGGATTTGGGACTGTTCAGTGTTTTGTCAACATTTTGATAGTTGATAAAGAGAATTAGATGGCATTCAAAGGGCATTTTTTGACGTTTCAAATGCCACTTAACGGATGATTAATGGATTGATTAATGGTAGATACTGGATTGTCACATTTTGAAAGTTTGGGTACTGGATTAGCGCATTTTAAAGTTCGGAGACCAAATTGTCACTCGAGCCAAAGTACTAGGTACTGATCGGGAATTTTCCCTCTTGGGTATAAGTGATACCCATCTCTTAAGTGGATAAATAACTTTCCCACTTTGGAGGGAAAGTTGTCAATACTTGAATGAGACAAAAATGCCTCTTTTAATAATGAATTTTTATGGCTAAAATGGTCATTGCCTTATTTAGTTGGGAAATAAAACAACATGGATATATACACTTACTTGGATAAGTATTTCTCTGGAAATACTTACCCATATAATTGCATTTATCCGGATAAATAACTTACTGAAAAACAAACAGAACCTTAATGATAGATAATTTGTATAACAAATCCATCAACTTTTGTACATTATTAATATTCAAAATAAGAATACTATTAGGTAGTCCTTGCACATAGTAGATTAGATTGCAGATAACATGGCCATTGATTTGAAATCAATCAATACTTTTACTTGTGGGTATTCTCTTAAGGAAGCAATCTTTTGAAAGTTACTTCCCCAAAATTTAGGACCAAACCAAACATAAATCAGAAAGTGATCCAGTATTTGATGGTTATCAACCAATTAGTAGGGTTAGGGTCCAAAATGGTTCAACCTGATCATTATTATTCAGGCCCAATCAATAGACACTAATAAAAAGAGTATATGATTCTTGGAACCTATTAAAACAATTAAATTCGCCTTTTACCTTTTTCTTATAAAATTGTACGGATGTAAAATGAGTGGCATTTTATTGAACCCATTCAGGCCCATGCACATGGACCAATCGATCATTAATGGGTGTGGCATGTGGGTGATTAGAGGATGGATTGGTCTTCAATCCAAATCCAAAATCCAATCCAACCGAACCCACCCAATTGTCATGAGGTAATGATGGTTACTTTTTTTTAAAGAATTTTCCTTTCTATCATTCTATGTGAATCTAGAATCCTATGGTGTACCTGATTTTAAGGTTAAGTTTGGGATTACATAAAAATAAGTGTTTATAACACTTATTTTGGGTCAGGACCACACTGATAAAGATTTATTTGAGTTTAGGAAATAAGTCCAAAATAAATAATTATTCCGAGAATAAACACTTATTTGAGAAGCCCAACTTTTTTGGCTTATTTTTAAATACTTATTCGATAAGTGTTTATTGCCTTTTTGGTCTATCTTGACCCATCATGTTATTTTAAAAGTACCTATACTACCCCAGTTTAAAATAAGTGTTTTTTCACAAGGTTTTTAAAACCAAATCAGACAATGAACCATTCAGGGGTTCGGTTCTTGGGTCGAATGGTTCGATCGTTCAAATTGAACAGATGGCCCATTCTGACAAAAAAATAAAAAAAGGCCAAAAACTGCTGGATGATTCGAACAGTTCAACCGCCCGGGTCAGCGATTTGCTGACCAAATCAATGGATTTTGGCCAAAATGACAGTTCTGAGGTAACATAGAACCAATCAGATGACCAGTTCCTGGTTTTTCCGGTCCGACCGTCTAGTTCTATCCGATTTTGAAAACCATGTACTCCCAAAAAGTTTTTCACTAAACGTTCATAAGTGTTTATTAGAATAAACCCTTATTAATTTTTAAGCACTTATATTTCAAAGAAGCATTCCCAAACTTGGCCTAAGCTTTAAAAAAGCCAAGAACCAATGCATACAAATAGGGTTCAGGCCTCCAAATGCATTATCGTTGGCAATTGGCATTACTAAAAATGGGATATCTAAATTTCTTTAGATGCATAATATGCATGGAAATGAATTTCTTGGTTTCTATTGTGGAATTGAAAGCCAGCATCAATTTGATGGGAATAAAGTGGAGTTAGAGTAGAATTGATGAAAGGTACAAGAAAAAGACCCGGAATCCATTAATTTGTACAAAAAAAGGTAGGGAAGGGTAGCTATTTCCATGTCTCCTTTGTTAACCATTTTAATACTGGGATAAGCTGTCATAAGATTCTGTCCTCTCCTTTACACAGGATTGCTTCTTAAACCCTAAGCTGTATTTGGTTTAAAGGAAAAAAGTAGGGAAAGATTCTGTCCTTTCTTTC